CTGCCTACTCCCTTCTTAGTTTCAGTGGGAGATATCAGATTTCTACTTTTAGAGCTTCTGATGGCGTACCTAAACCTGTGGCTGGCATAAGAGCTTAGTACTGTATTCTGCCAAGGCGTCCTCAAGACAGTGGTTTATTCATGTCATCGATCCCAATTGCGGGGATCGATGCTCATGATATCAATCACTGGATTGTCTGGTCCAGACTCGATTATTTACAGACAGCCGTCATTTAGCTGGAATATTGCTGAGTGCGGCGTAAAACAGCAACAAAAACAAACCAAGACAGTGTTCCGAGTGAAAGGTCTCACAACCATATAGTGTTGATCTGATTAATACTTTGTTGAGGTCCAGCTGGCACCCAGGTATCTCTATAGCCACCTCATGATGAGTCTGAAATTGCGCTTAATACATTTATGTCTTTATGGCATCTACTTTCAACATAGACCGTGTTTGTTCCACGAGGGATCTAGGATCAAGCCTTGTGAACAAAAAGAAAAACGTGAGAGGTTTACCTTTTATGGATAGACAGTGTATCGAGTATGGAATAATTACTTGTACAAATGTCACCAGTATCACTATCCCCATCTTTCAACCAATCACAAGAGTTGTTGACGAACGTCTGAATTTGAGCAGTGTGAAGCAGTGATTGATTCCCAGCTGAGAAAGCTTGTGGTATCACACTTGGTATCCCACTTGTCAGTGGTATCAAATTGGCATGTCTTCATCGTTCATATGTTGCCGAATCAAGAGCTTCGAAAAACAAACTTACAATTGCACCGTGGGTCATTTCCACTTTACACAAGGGGTATAAGGTAAGTGTATATTAATGCTATCAACCATAGCAAGTTTATTGTACCGGTATGCAAAAAGGGAAAGACACCATTGCCCGTGTACAGTAACACACCTGACATGGCTGGTTCTTCTGAATAGCATGCCAATATAGTTTGGAAAAAAATAAGTACCGCATTCAACGTAATAAGCGCCCAGGGCCCTCTCAAAATTAGAAATAGGGGGCTCTTATTCGAATATAATTTTAGTGAGAGAAAAAACAGAGTTGAAAGATTGAAAATTTCGTGGTTTCTGCTGACAGCCTGAATGAAATGATACAAAAGAAAAAATCTGTGCATGTTATACACGACAGATATATACTCACCAACAAAAGTTCCTGTGACACCAATGTTTTAGTGTATTTTTCAAACAAGTAAAGTTTGGTTTTCAATATTGTAATACATGCATGGAATCAAGTCACAAAAACGCAACTGCTACAGAAAAGCATGCATTTCATGCACAAGTTGACTTTTATGCAAGTCCAATGCATTTCACTACCCAAGAATGGATATAAAAACATGTGCGTTAACGGGATTCCAGATGCATTGTTTAGCATCGTGCTGACAACAACCACTTAGAAAAACAACAAAATTACGCAATTATTCAACATTACGAAATGTCACGCCTGTCCGAAAATGAGCGTCTGCGAGCCATTGGTATGCTTGAAGCAGGATCGAGTCAACGTGATGTTGCAAGACAATTTAACGTCCACAGAAACACCATTTGATGTTTATGGCAACGTTGGCAACAGACGAATGCAGTCAGAGAACATCCTCGGAGTGGCAGGCCACGCGTAACCAATAATCGACAAGACAACTGGATTCGAACAAAACCCCTTCGAAATCGATTCCAGCCAGCAACAGTGACTGCAAGAAGCATCCCTGGCCTTCGACGAATATCTTCACAAACCGTACGTCGTCGCCTCAGATGTGCAGGGATTGTCGCCAGAAGACCCGCCAGACGTCACATTTTGACAGGAAACCACCGTCAAGCAATGTCTATAGTGGTGCAGACAGCGTCTACGCTGGATGGCCATGCAGTGGGGACAAGTTCTATTCACTGGCGAGTCTCGTTTTCACCTCAGTCACAGCGATGGACGGATTCGAGTGTACCGACGTCGAGGTGAACGTTACGTCAATCATTGTGTCATGGAAGAAGATCGGTTCGGGGGCGGAAGCGTTATGGTATTGGGTGGGATAACAGCAAGACAGAGGACCCGTTTAATAGTGGTAGAGGGAAATCTCAATGGACAGCGCTACCGCGACGAGATCATCGGCCCTGTTGTTCTACCGTTTTTGCGTCGTCATGGCCCAGGCATTACCTTTCAACATGACAACGCCCGGCCTTAATTGCTCCACTTGTTCAGGATTCTCTTCAACAAAACAAAGTGAATGTCATACCCTGGCCGGCTCGTTCCCCTGATCTCTCACCAATCGAGCACATGAGATGGATCGGCGCCTTCGACGTCAACCTCGTGTTCAACAGACACTCCATGAACTTTGAAACATGCTCCAGCAGATTTGGACAGATATCCCACAGGACTTTGTGCGACGCCTGGTCCATTCCATGAGACGAAGATGTGTTGCTTGCATCGCATCCAGTGGTGGACACACACGCTATTGATTTGTAAATTGACATTTTGGCATGTTCATGTTTTTTTTATGAAATCACGCATTTTCTGAAGTCAGTATGGCAAATTAAACCATTTGAACCACTACAGGAGTCTTTTATCTGTTGCAAACCGAAATTGTTTCAGATTTGGTAAAAAACATAACTTTGCATTAAATCGTATTCAATGTCACAGGAACTTTAATTGTTCAGTATATTTTCCAGAATTTAATTGCCCATAATTAAGGGTGCATATAACACACGAGTGCGTATTATACACGAATAAATAAGTCTTGTGTACATTGATCAGTCGGAAGGGGTGCCAATTGGGATTGTTCACTAGCCAATATATTAACAAATATCGCCGTGGGCGCTTATTAGAGTGGGGCGCTTATTACGTCGAATACGGTAAGTACTTAACGTGCTCAAAATAGAACGACCATTTCGCAATTTCCTGTCAAGGTACACTAAGAACACAAGGGATATATACTCTTCAAAAAAAAAGAAACTTGACACCGTCTTTCAAAATTTAAAATAAACACAATGTTTAAAATTAGGACACAGAAACCATAATTGAAACACCGTTTGAGGATCAATGTACACAATGTTCAAAACATTAATCGTGTCACACAGACAGACACACGTACACAATAGAGTTAATGTCACTAGGGTATAGGAAATGTCAGTATCGGTTGTGACCACCACGTGCATCAATTACCGCTTGACACCGACGACCAATAGATGCAATCAAGTTGTCAATAACACGCTTTGGAATGTGCTGCCATTCATGCTCTAAGTGCCACAAGAAGCGTCGGAAGTGTTTTGGGTGGTGGAGTCCTTCTGTGCACGCGTCGATCCAACTCGTACCACAGATGCTCAATCGGGGACAAATCTGGTGACCGCGCTGGCCAAGGTAATGTCTGGATGTTGTTGCGCTGTAGAAAGTCCTGACAAACACGTGCAATATGCGGTCGAGCGTTGTTTTGCTGGAATTGCCCACCGTGAACGTTGAAGTGAGGCAGAACGTAAGGCTGTAGGATCATGTCTCTGTAACGCACGCCTGTCAATGTACCTGCCACATGCACAAGAGGCGTCCTACCACCGTGATGAATTCCGGCCCATACCATGACACTCCCGCCGCCAAATGGGACAACCTGCTGCACACAGTTGGCATTGTCAAGGGACGCAACTCTGCACAGCCAATCACGACGACTGCCCCCCCCCCCCCCCCCCCCACACACACACACATTTCATTTAATGATTTTTGATATTTTGAGAATGGTGGTTATACATCTGTTAAGTTTCTTTTTTTGAAGAGTATAGTTTGATATATGCGTGTTTCAATGCAGACAAGGGATACGGCGAGAGGGCAGTTAAAATATAGTGAGGTGATTCACTTTATAGCTACACGGGATATGTGCCTGTTGATTTAATGTTTTGTTTGTTTGTTTGTTTGTTGTTTAACAATGCACCCAGCAATATCCCAGTCTGTAAAATAATCGAGTCTAGACAAGACAATCCAGTGATTGACACCAAGACCATCGATCTACACAACTGGGGTACGATGACATGCATCAACCAAGTCAGCGAGCCAGACCACCCCACGTTGGTCTCCTCTTACAAGCACAGTCGCATTTTACGACAAGCATGGGTTGCTGGAAACTTATTCTACCCTGGATCTTCACGGGTCTGTTTCAGTGTAGACAAACGCCATCCCCTCAACAGACACAAGGACCATATGCAAGCGATTAATATCATGCATGATCCAGGTCACCGAGCCTGACCACCCGATCCATCATGTCGCCTCATACGGAAAGCATAGGTTGCTGGAGGCCAATGTTAACCCAGAATCCCCTCGAAGTTCCCTTCAAGTTTGTGTTTGAGTTGGGCTCAAAACGGATTTGAAAATAATTTCAATTATTTATTAGTCATCATTAAAAGCGCAACAGTATTATTTCGGCAATATCACCTTTGAGCACTGACCTAGTCCTGTTTATGAAATTAACTATGGTCATTACCGGAATTGCATTTTTAATATAAGTAAATCAAGTTGTGTCAAGCTAACTTGGTAGAAGTGAAACAGGATACAGGCAATTCCTAGTTCTGACCCACTTCATAATCAGGCTGAATCTTAGATTTGAGTCACAATTAGTCCCATATAGATTCGGGCACCATTAAGGTGATGTGAGGTGAAATGGGGTTTAACGTCGCGTCCAAGATTATTGCACTTATATAGCAACGTGCATGCACGTGTGTGTGTGTGGCTGCTTGTACTAGACCGGACTGGTGCCGATTTATAGTGCTAGCCCACTGAGATACCATGCTGCAAGTTTAACATGAATACCCCACTCATACACAGTATACTGACTCCGAGCTGACCAGTCCTTGCTTTTGCCCCTCAGTGCCGAGCGCCAGACAGAGTAACAAAAATAAACCATTTCTTAACGTCTTTTGGTATGACACGGCCGGGGATCAAACCTCCGAACCTTCCTCTCTCCGGGAGGACGCTCTACCACTAAATGACCGAGGCAGACCTTTTGAAAGAATGAAACAGACAAGCATATCAGTTATTATTTTATTCATTGTTGTCAGGTTGTGTCTACAGTTACTCTGCGTACTTACAGGCTATCAGTACCTCATGTAGTAAATATCCTATGTACAAATATGGATAAAAAATCTCCCTGCATATAAACATTACACATGCAAAAAGTCACCTGAAATAAAGATGGAATGATTAACAATTCAGGTCTTTTCATCTTAAAAATAAGCAGAATGGTTTCAAACCATCATAATTAAAAAAAAGGTTAACAGACTAAAATGTACTTGTCTTTTTAAGTTACCATATATACAGACATACTTCACAACCTTTGAGCTCAAATCAACTGAGCATTGGACAAGCATATCCTGTGATACAATGTCCTTATTCAATGATACATGGAAAGTGTGATACACTGGCTGTAATTAACAAGGGGGAATATATGCAGTTATCATATGACAATAAATTGAATATTGTATGGTTATAAAAATACCACTATCAAATACAATAAGGACAGCTAATGTTTTGATTCAAGCTTAAATCAGTAAGATAATATACACATCAAACAGCGAAGTTCATAATGATTTTTTTTTAAAAATAGGTCTGAAAGAAAATGAAGTTGTGTGCTTTCAAGCTGGGCAGAGAAAGAGATTAAGGTTGAAATGTTGAAGTAGTCGCTGGCTCTAGGATAGCAAAGGTAACAAAGATACAACAGACAGGAAGATACAGGAAACAAGGAATGGCAAATATTGTAGCGCTTGTCCCAATGACGAAGTGGGTTTTGATTTTGACAAATATATACAGAACCGGACTTGCATCAATAAAGGTCAAAGTTGTGTAAACTAAGGTCAAGGTCAACAGACACTAGTTGTATACCATGCATCAACACTGGTAGCAACAGGCGACAATATGTTAATTTGAAGATATTCCAAAGCGCCATTGATAAATATGCTGAGGTCTGACACAAATAAACTGCTTGGTTCCTTGCCTCCATAACATATTATTATTAGGCACTTGAGATAGAAACATCCGTGGATAACCTGTCTTTAAGATTTGACATCCATTTAACTTCTACATTTTGTTAACAGTGACTGATCTACCCAACTGTTCCACCAAGAACCAAACAATTCTTTTCATTTAACCACTGGGGAGGACAGAGCAACATCGATCCTGGCAGTAGGCATTTAACAATCTGAAAATAACTGTTATATAATGTAATTAATAATTGAGGTCTTAGGGCTGACCATTTGATATTCTGGGGCTTGATGATTTTTCTTTGAAAAGAACAATCTGTTACCTTTTAAAAAAATGGAAAAAGATAATTTTTTCTGAAGTTATACAAAAAGATTTTAAACGTTTCTGGCTCATGTCTGAGAAAAAACAAAACAAACCATAAAGCATTCAGAGAGAAAACTGTATGTCTCAAACCAATATCTCCATCCAGAATATGGTCCCTTACCTTGGTTCTGAGTGGACCGTAAACCACTGATTATTACTCTGTACTGCATCGGCACCACAACGACAGCGGCAATGAAGTATTCATGGCCAATCTATATATAAATGTACCCTTCAACATGAAGACACCAAGTGACTTAGGCGACAACCAATCTATAACAATACCTGAATAAAATGAACGTAGTGTCAGCATGTAGGCAAACTTGGTAACAAAGACTAAATTATCTACATACAAAATAAAACTAACTCCATGGTCCCTTGAAGATAAAACAACTTGGTACATGACTACTGGACAGTGAGATGCGAGCCCCAAATACCACAATACACCAAAGTTGAATATTTAATGCTTGCACGATGTGTTTCAGTTGTGAGCATGGGCACTGACTGTATACAAAACCATCCAAATAAGTATATTAATCAGTGTGGCACCACTGCACTGTATCACAATATTGTTCCATCATAAAGATGCAGTTCCCTAGCTTGGAAGTTCTAGATTCCGTCTCTGCATGTTGAGCATCAACATGTGAACTCACAACCACCATACGATGTCAATGGCAAAATAGGTATAGAGTGTTAAGGCAAGTGATAACTATATGGTCACATATCTGTCACAACCAACATCCGTAACTCAAAGAATTGCAATATTCACAAACAACCAGTTGAAAATAATCACTTCTGGCATACACAGTGGAACCTACCAATTTACTCAGAAAAATAACCTTGAGAACCATTACAACTTTATTTTTACAAGAGATGTATCATTACTCAGGAGCTGTAAAGAAGGAAACTATCCTGATTCTACTGTATGTCATACCACAATGAAAGACACATTCACAGTTCTCATTAGAGCTGGGTACAAAGAGGGCAGGATCACTTTTGCATAAATGTCATTCAGTTATTCACTAACAGTTGGTGCTCTTATTTATAACCCTGCTACCAGCTACATGATTGAAAATGTATTAATCACTAAAAACTTAAATGGTGTTGAACACAAAATGTACTCTCATATGTTAAACCCCTACTTCAATGACCAAAAATTCATTTTAAACAAAGCATTAACAGATAGTGTTAAAAAGTTTTTTCAAAAATCAGAATTAAGGTAAAATATCAGTTTTTAGAGCAGGATGTGGTCACAAACAAGCAGAATAAAAACAGACATTTGATGTCTTAAGCTTGTCAAAGGCCTGGAATGTGAAAGTGAGTTATTAACTTAACCAGAGTGCAGTGTAGAGGGGACGTGCAGCCAAGTTAGTAGGTTAGCAAATGAAATTAGTCAAAATAGCACAGAAACAAATATTGCTATTTGGTTAACCAGACTGACTTTTGTAATAATGTAACACCAGAAATTAAATTGTCATTCATTTCAGCTAGATGATAACATGTTACCAAGGTTACTAGCTGAGAACCATTCCCTGTCAAATGAGATCCATATTGGAAATAAGAAAATCACGAACTTTAAATTTCTAGCAAGTGTAAAATGATACCAGTTACGATGTCTGGTTTGATTAATCATGTTCAAGGTGCTAAGAATATCTTCTAAGAACTATAATTCTAAATGTCTTTATTTCCAATTCTAACTTAATAATCAATGTCACTCATATTGTCAAAATAAACCATTCAGAAAATAATTCAATTGTCCATACTTAGCTTTGTTAAAAGGCACAAGAACAGCATCACTGTGTCTAAGGGAGATAAGCCAGTATCACCAAGTTACCTCCCTTAGACTATGCCATGGCAGGAGAAGATGGTGGCAACTACAAAATATTTACATTCAAAACCATCAGATTGATAACAGTTCTTATACACAAATCCTGGCATTTGATACAACAAAACAGCCATGCATAAAATGCTCAACATGCTCAAATAGGAAGAATCTGTACAATTAAAGACTTCAGTGATAAAAAAGATCCTGCCATTTCAACAAGTCTATCTTGTCCAAATAAAATACAAGGCAAAAAGTGTTGTTTTCCCTCTGAAGCACCATATTGTTCAGTGTTGTTCATTATCACTTGTTCAAGGTTATATACATAAAGTATCCACGAATCCAAACACATGCATGTAAAAACATAGTGTTAGCAGCAAGATAAATCCAACATGAAGGGGCGCTGTATTATTGCAACCTCTCCTCAAATGCCTGGAAAAGAAACCAGCAAACAGATCTAGGTTCATTGTTCGTAGCACAGGATGATTATTGATTATTACTTTACAGGAATCTCCCATCACAAGGGGCGTCACGATTCACCAATATACCGATGCATTTTGAATTTACACAGAATACTGTTCATTGTATGCCTACTCACGTTTCAACGCAAATATTACTTCTGTATCAATTCATATTTTAAGTCCGTAGAGATTTTCAAAAAGTAATATTTACAAAGTAAACACCTTATGAAAATAACTCTGATTAGTGTTAGATCATCTGTTTATTCTTACAGTTAGAAGATGCTTAAATTAACCAATTCATACACAAACTGGTTCACAGCAACGACTTCACACAAACTTGGCCAAATGGAGCATGAAGTTCATTCAGATATGGCACAAAACAAGTATTGTGAAATATATCAGTACGTGAGGGAGGCATATCGTGACACCCCTACTCATACAGCTACACTTCAACACCTCTCTTATGGCAATAGCTGGGTGATCAACCAGTGAGAGAGGTCGTCTTCTGCCAGCTAAAAAGCAACTGCTTATAATACAGATATTTCTATATCAACAGGCAAGTGTTGGCAAGCAAATATTTCCTGATTCTAATAGTTTGCCTAGAAGTTGAAATTGTAATTATTTTGGCGAGTTCCAAGAGATGTAAACTGTCTTCCCCAATCGAACAAGTGTCCAAGTCTTGCTGTATCACTAATACTGCGAAGGAGTTGGCAGAAATACTTCTGACTGCCCAATTCTGCCCAATTGTGTAGCCACTTGTACATACTTGTAACTAGATGATGGGTAAATTTGTTCACATGCTAAGGCCAAATGTTCACAATCTTCATACATTTCAACATGACGTCTCAGACAAGATGATATGATGGTAAAGCTATCCCAAAATGGAAGTATTTACTTTGAGCAGAGGAAACATTAATTACTTCATCAAATGTGGCAGCTGAGCATTTGTATGCAATTATATACCTCACAAAAGTAATCCATACCCACAGCTGAATATACTTTTCTGCATGCTGTGTTGTTGACATTAAACGTGACATGAAAGTGACAGTGCAAGTCCCCAAGTGCAATAACAAAGTGCAGCTTTGAACTATGAAAATAAGAATCCATCATAACATCTTACATAAACTGTTTAAAATACTTCTTACCACTTTTAAACAAACACACACAACCTGTGCAACAGATATATTACTTACAGTTTTGACAATCTAACATATGACTTAGTAGATTCTGGCAGTGAGGTAACACTCTCTATCTTAAAGCTATTAAGGACTTAACACTTTTCACATGCTGATTGATTTTTAGCTAAAATCTCTGAGAAATAAAGTCTCAAAATCTCTTTCATCTTGAAAACAATTGCTGATATCAGTCCATATGTTTAAAATTAGTAAAATGTGCCAAAGATATTTGAGCAGACTTGAATGTTTGTAGCACAATTATGCTTATGAAGATGTTTATAATTGAATCAAGCAAATTTTAATTATATAACTGCATATTAGATTAAAGAAAACACCATCAATTACTATGGAAGAGATACAGGAATAAATACAGAGCAAGCCTGTTGCTAATCAGCCTGTGAAAGAAAAGAACATTACCACATATTGTTCTGTACCATGTTATACTTGTCACCAGCAAGTGGGCAAAAATTGCAGGAAGCACAAATAAAATATATGCACATAACTTTCAAATATACTTCTGGGACAGAGTTTCTCACCAATGCAAATGTCAAATTTAACCCAAACCACTTCCCGAAAGAATTTTGCTGACTAAGCACATAGTGCTTCATTACACCTATTACACATTTTTCCTGCCTATTTATCAATGCATAAACATTCCAGAGTGAGGATTGTGTTAAGTTTAACTCAAGCAATGCAATATGTTCAATGCTTTGCAACAAGCAAGATAGTGAGTATGTTCTTATGGGCAATATTCCAGCCCAATCACAACAAGGAATACCAGACACACTGTGTGGGCAGCTGAACCTGGGACTTTCAGCAGGACAAGTCAACACATGTACCACCAGGCTACCCGATGCCTGTACATCATCAAAAGCATAATAATTCAATTTTCCTTAGGTGAAGGTTGAAAAGTTGCTGGAATTCTCTGTTCACATCACAGTGCACATGCCCATGTGAAGCTGAGTGGATATGCCATGCAATAGTATTAGAGAGGTAATGTAGCGAGTGTCTTTCCAGCACTGGATATATGCAGCAACAACATAGTCAATATTCCATTCAGGGCCCTGTTCCACAAAGCGATCTTAGTGCTATGACTGTCCAGTGCTGAGATAATTTTGTGGAATAGGGTCTGGACTGCACAAGCACATCACTGTTGCACTAGAAACCAGTCATAAACCAGCACACCAAACCAAACACACAGCACCTGCTTTGTTACAAAGTCACAACAGCGCTGTCTTTGTCCGATTTCTCTTTTTCAGGTTTACTAAGATGATCATGAACTTCATCTTCGTCATCGTGTTCAATAACTGTGTCACTGTCAAACGATTTAGATGACCGGTACGAGTGTTGTGACGTGGAGGACATCTGGGAGTGTCGCCCTGGCGCCCCACGCTGATTCCCTAGTGTCATTCTCTGATTAACAGGTTTCACAGTAATGATCAAATTTGCACTATTTGCCACCATCATGTCTGTCACCTGGTCTAGAGTTTTCCCTGAAACTTCAATTCCGTTCACTTCTAGAACTTCGTCATTAACTGCCAGTAGTCCCGTGCTCTCAGCAAGCCCGCCAGGGACAAGCCTCGATATAAATATTCCAGGTACTTTTTCAAGTCCTTGTGATGTAACCCGCACAGTTGTACCATCACGAATGTAGAAACCAAGTGGTTTATCAGAACCATTTTTCATCAGTTTTACCCTACGCAGCGTTTCAGGCACAATATCGACATCAATAATGGCTGACACTCTCCGGAAGTCCTCGGGCATTCCAATATGAATCCTAGGTTTGGGCTGGGTCTCATCTTTCATTAACTTTGTGATAGGATTCCTCCTCTTCACTGGGAGAGTTCCATAGCCATTCGCTTCACCATAGCTTTCACCTGAAACAACAGAAGAACATCATTAGCTTCACAGGATTATCTCACTAAACAGTGGCCCATATTATCAAGGTCATTCATCCTTTAAATAAGTTACATATGGAGCCCTTTAGTTCTGAAACCAAACACATTTTTTTTCAAAGGTATGGGTAACTTGATAAATACAAATCAATCTCAAGACCTTTCTTTGTTGCTTTAAGCAGCACTCATCAATATTCCAGCCATATCACAGCAGGGATAATTCTAGGGTGGGGCTTTGTGCTTTTAGCCCCAAAATTTGAAAAAAGGCCCACATTTTCAAATGCAATGGGGCATTTTAACATTCTGCTGTGTGGGTGTACCTCTGGAATATTTTCACATTAAGGGCCCATGTCATAATTCCTAATGTGAACCCTGTCACAGCAGGCTGTAAATAATGAAGTCTGGACCAGACAAACCAATAGACTTTTCAAAGTATTGGAGACTTGTGTTGGAATATTTGGATAGTTTTGTTTCGGGGTCTGCATGAGAAAATACTTGAAAATATTCAAAACATCATTCCCTGTGATACTGAATGTGTCACATGGTGAAATGTCAACATTAGAACTTTCTTAATGATGTAACTTCATTCTTTCATACAGCAGGCACAGGATATTAAGTGACAGTTTCAAAGGGGCTCCCAGTGCTCCACATAATGTGTCACGATAATGAGAACAGTGCTCATTACAAAACAACATGATCAGAACCACACTGTTGACTCATTTCCAATAATGTGAGTGGGAGTATGTCTTGAACCCTTGAGAGAACATCAGTTCAGTACTATCTGGGTGATCTGTTCAATGTGGGTGGAGCGCCTGAAGTAACAGCTGCCCCACCCCTGAGGTCCTGTCAGCCATGGCTGGTAATGAGATATGACTCACCTGATTACAATTCCAATCACAACATTAACTCGATAGTCAATACAGCGGTAGAAACTAACATTTTCAGTCCACTAGTCCTTATAATGATAACATATAGCAAACTTTTAAAAATGGCAAATATCTACTAGTCCTTTTGATACCAATACCTTATTGGGCAGTTTAGCAAGGACTATAGGATTAGTGCCAATTTCTCACATTGTGATAAGACATTTTGTAAGGAGAGACATTTAAATAGCAGCCTGTTCTATATCCTCTATTTTTTTCAAGTGACTATATATACTAAGCATTAAACATTTGGGATTGAAGTACAGTTTTAACCTAACACTTTGATAAGAAAACAATGTGTATGATGTCTTGCTTTATACGGGTAGTCACATATTGTGTGAATAAATACACTGGCTACTTGTTGATCGGTGTTTGACCTTGTCAATACTCTAATGTTAAGGCTATAATCAAATAATTACTATGTTCATTCTAATAAGCATATAAACCATACACAAGAAGTCAAATTTGTTTTAAGGGATCAACTGGTAGTGAACAAAATTAGTTCAACTGTCAATTCAAAATAAAACTTTTTCAATAATAGTCACTAAGTCTTGGCAGCTAGACACCCCTTCTCCACGGCTGTTGCCTGTAAAAAATGTGTAATACATACAAACACACATGAACACATCGACTGATATGTAAATGTACAGTGAGTGAGTGAGTTGGGTTTAACGCCGCTTTTAACAGTATTCCAGTTATATCATGGCATGTCAGCTTAATGTGGGAGGAAAGCCCGAAGTGAAGCAGGTCTCAGACGTTGACCACTTCGGTGAAACCCCCGAGCACGGGTATGGTGCTGACAAACCTAGAAACATAATCAGGGCGAACCGGGATTCGAACCAACAATCATAGGTTTCTGGAGTGCCCAAGGGACGCAACTCTGCACAGCAAATCGTGGCGCCTTAGACGACTGGGCCACCCGTGCCCCCTGTAAATATACAGTGTTTGTAGGAGCTGCTTATAATAATTACTTATATATTGGTGTAGAAGATGGTCAGGGTGTCCTTATGACTCCTTATTGGATCAGGGCACTTAACATGCTTAATGTGGCAAATACGATATCAGATTTTCATCCCTGTCTGCCTCACTACCAAACACCCTGCCTCATATCACATAATTTTCCCCAAAATTAAAATAATTGCCAAATGTGTTTTCATCTTTCCTTACTTGATGAAATACACCAAATACAGTCCAACAAAACAGTGATGTCAATATTTAATTACAAAGATACTATGAACAATTTTTAAAAAATATATGATATAAAAAAATAAACATTTTGAAAAAATTGCAAGAAAACATTCTTAAATGTGGCTTCAGTTTAATGATTTAGGAGACCCCTTGATAAAATGTGTGAGAAGAAAACTTCCAGGACCCCAGCAACTCCCATACCAGTAACTTTCACATCAAGAGCAGTGGAATTACAGGGCTAATCATTACGTATATTTATCCCTATAAATAAAGACATTTCAAATCAACAAATAAAACAAAAGCCCACAAATCAGCACAAATCATGTCATAAAGATATTTTCTAGCCTCTGTAAGTCCAATGATCGTGGGTACATAAGCTTTCACATTTAACCAAGGGCTGCAAATAACTAGCGCTTTTATTTAACTTTGATTACCACCTCATCAAAACTTCACGTCTGAACAGGTTGTACTGAATCCCCGAGACCATAATCTCTGCATGGGGATTGCACATACACAACCATAGGTTCACCAGGGCAGTGAGACGGCCAGCGAAGCACATGATCCAATGATTAATCAGTCAAGTATGTGGTTAATTAATGAAATGACCATGAAGCTACAACAGCCGCACCAGGTTATCTGGAGTTTGCCCCAGGACACTCAAGGTGGGGGCTCTTATCTCAGCCTCTTGTGCCTGACCCCATCTCCTTGTCTGCATGGTCTCATGCAGGGAACAATAGACAGCCCCCATCCCCTCCCCCCTCAACAGAACACTCGGAACAAACAGCTGACATCTTGGAGATACCTTGTTGGAAGGCTCTCAGGAATATTTCTCTATGTTTTCTCATGTGGCATTTAACTTATCCATTTGTTTCAGCTGTTTATTTTGTTTATCTTATTTATTTAGCCTCTTTCATTACAACTGGTACTTAAATCACAGAGTTGTTCATGGTACTATGCTGAGGGAGTATGAAGTGAGTTAGTTAGTGAGTATGGTTTTACGCCGCTTTTAGAAATATTCCAGCAATATCACAGCGGGGGACACCAGGAATGGGCTTCACACATTGTACCCATGTTGGGAATCGAACCCGGGTCTTCGGCGCGATGAGCGAATGCTTTAACCACTAAGCTACCCGACTGCCCCAGGATAAAGAGAGAAAAATACGACAGGGTTACAGTAAACTAATCATGTATTAACACAATATATTGCACACAAACAGTATTTAAACTTTACATTCCCTTTTTGGGAATGATTTTATTTATACTGCACCAGTTTCCACACACTTGCAAATGCTTGCAGTGCTAACATGAACATATTCCCAATGTCTAGCCCTTCAACTGAATTATATATTATCCAAGCAATGTTGCTATGATTGATCATTATGAGTTTGTGATTGATTACTTTGTCTGTACTGAAGCATTGCTAGATCGTGAGTGTCCATGATCTGAGTAGGACTGTACTGGACACTTTATAGTTTTTACCAAACTCTTATTCAGTATGTCCAGTTGTAATTAAGATGCACATGAACAAAGTCATAATGAATAAGCAACAAATTAAATAATTCATTTATGGAATAAGACACTTAAACTCGCAAATCAAATGACATCCATAATGGATGATAAATCACTTCAGAAAAATAACAATGACAAATGATCTATGACAAAATCCTAATGCCCAACATTAATTCAAGTAAACATGATGTGGGCTTACGTCAACATAATCACACTAGTTTACACAGATAAAGTAAATCAATAATTTATCAAATATCTTGCCAAACAACCTAATGCACAACGAATGAATATGATTATATTATTACCATTTCTAAACATTTGTCTTGAAAACATTAACAATAATTCACACAATCTTTGTTGTATCCAAATTAAACGTCTTAACAACCGGAAAATAAAATAATAGTTCCTTATTATATCTATAATATTATTTCAATTAACCACGAACACAAGCATTCCACCTGAAGCGTGTTTGTGAAAACATGACATTACGCTTGTACACACTTTCCGACGATTATATGCCTGGGGCGACATGAAACATTGATGACACATTGTCATAACGGATGTTGTGATCATATGGCAATAACGGATGTTATGATCAATATATCCCACATTCCATTACAGCCAAGGCAGCTGAGGGTCTCTAACTAACAGACTAAGTTACAATGTTACATCACATCGGCAATACTGCAGCCATATGGTGATGAGAACAAGCTAGTATGTCCCGGGCAGTAACAGGGTAAGCTGTAAGTTAGGCCATAAAGCAACCATGTCAAAATTAAACACATCATTAAACCATGTCAAAATTAGTAAACCATTCTCATCAATTAAAATTAGGCTATAGGCCAGCAGCAATCAAAGCCAAACAACTTTACCAAGGATCATGGCTTTGTCTATTTGTTTGTTGTTTAACTCTGCACTAAGCAATAATCCAGCTATATGACGGCCATCATAGGGCCTTACAGTACCTCTGCTTCCTGCATGATTCCCCAGCAGGATTTCTATCATCACTTCCACTACCAGCAATTGTATGCAATGGTGACCAATCATAAAATACATACAACAATCGAAGTACAAAAACACTAGGCGACATTATAGACTTTGATTTAGATCAGATTTATTAAATGCCACTGTCATGGGTGTAAAAGTTTTACACGATCGACACATACAGACACAGACACAGACACAGACACAGACACAGAGCGGAACCACCTTCTTTAATCTCAGGCGATTGTAATATCACACTAATAACAGACTGTGAGGCAGCTACATTATCAGAAGATTAATGTTTGTCTAGGCTGCAAATGTTGCTTGTATCCTGATACTTGAGAAGTCAGTAAACAACAAAGTGCTTTATGATGAGAA